AAAAAAAACTATGGGGAAAATGAAATGAATTAACAAATAAAATGTCTTTAATGGGTGGGTGAGTGAATCAGCAGATTATTATTGTTATTACAAATAAGAAAAATGGGTTTATTTATTTCCTCACTGGATAATTCTTGTACATTTAAATTGTCAACATGAAACTGTGAAATATTCATTTCCAAAATCATCTTGTCTCTGAGAGTACATTTCAACAGATGAGAGGCACAGATTATAAGTTAGTCATACACTGTGACCTCAGTGACCTTTTGATAAACTAACAAAGTCTAAAGACCATCATTCACTGCAATCTAATCGTGCTGTCGTGTTGTTCCTGATTCACATGTTAAATATCAAACACTCGTATTTCTGGTTAAAAGTATCTGGGTTGGAATCAGCTGAATATAGATGAGGTGATATTTTTGTATTTTGTCAGCAGTTACTGTCGAAGTTTGAGATCAAATTTTCTCAGGTGACACGATGGTTCAGTGGTTGACGCTGTCGCCTCACAGCAAGCCCAGGTCTGGTGTTTGAATCCACTGGACTGGCCTTTCTGTGGCAAACTGTGATGTTTGTAGGCCGTGTGTTTGTTTTCTCTGGGCACTCGAGCTTTAGGGTTAACCGGTGATTCTACGTTGGCCGTAGGTGTGAACGTGAGCGTGAATGGTTGTTTGCCTACCTGTCCGAGGCATAATCAGCCTGAAGTGGATAAGCACTTAAGAAATTACTGAATATAAAGATTTATTAAATAAAAAATAAACTATAATAAGTCTGTGAGCAGCTCATCGTCCTCCACATCTGATCTAGATCATTAATCTTCTTCAGCTCTGCTTTATTTTTCCTCATAGATACGTCTCGATCCACAAAGCTCCTCTGTAACCCACTCTGATTTATCTGAAAGCGAATCAAAAATTACAGAATATTATTTACTGAGAGCTGTAAAAACTTTCGTTTAGCTTTCTGACAGCACTCAGCAGACACACGGACATTAAGCCAAGTAAATATTAGTTATATGAAGGCATATATGAAGATTTGAGTGCAACATATTGTGGATGAGTTTCAGGTTAACGTCACTTTTATCTGTCAGGTTAACTCCTCAGTATTACTATCTAAAGATGTGGCTTTAGATGCCAGTCTGTCAGCCCCAGGGCAGCTGTGGCTACAACTGTAGCTTGCTTCAACCAGTGTGTGTGAATGTGAGAGTGAATGAATAGTGCCTTGAAAAGCGCTTTATAAATCCGTACTGATTCAACACATGCGAGGCCCTGGAGATCATTTTGATATTTATTTATTCATTCAGTACTCACATATTATACAGACTAAAAAAACCCCCAAACAATTCATATAAGATCCATGCCTATTTTACAAATAATGACTGAACAGGCTCAGACTGAAGCCGTGCTTCTATTTATGCCTGGCCTGTATAGTTATCATTAACGGTTCCCTGCCAAACAAACTAGCAACAATATTCTCACATGTAACCCTCAAAAATACAGTTTTGATGTGTATTCAGTTACGTCTGTGGTCCTTCTCTCTTAACCTTTGGATCGTGAGGCTTCATGCTTTCACATTATTTCTCTGAATGATTTTAAATCGGTGCCATTTAAAAATAAAACCCAAACATTCGCAGTACGTTCATTCAGGGTGCGTCTAAACAATGTGATGCTCCTCAACAATCAAACTGTCGTGCTAAGTAAATCCATCCTGTCGAATTCTGCGCAGCGCAGATTTATCTTTAAAGCAACAAACTATTATACATTTAAATGTTTGCCTTACCACACCTAACACTGGACGAACAGAATGCAGTAAAAATCAAATTATTCCTTATTTTATTTTCTCCCTCCATCATGTGAGTAGAGAAACACAAACTGACAATAAGCCAGCCACTCTACATCAGCAATGTCTGCATGCAAACCAGATCCAGGAGATATTATCAGAGAGCGGAGTCTGGAGTGCACGGAGGTTTCTGAGAGCGCTCGTCTGTTGGTTTAGTGTGCGTGTGATCCAGACAGTTTCCATGTTGCTGCTCAGGGCTCTGCAGGGTCAGACCATCTGCTGCAGCTCTTGTTGTTCTTCTGGAGGATGATGGTACTTCTTTATGACTCTGCCTGGATGTTTGGGCTTGTTGCTCTCCTGCAGAGTTTGAAGTTATTGTTTTTGGGTGAAAGGTGCCACAGAAAAATGTTTTTAGCTGCTGAAGTTCTGCAGCCACAGAGGAATGAACTGCCTCAAATCCATCACAGACGCTGTTAACCAAAGTGTCTGTACAGCACCTTTTTCTTTTAAATTTTATATTTTTTCCCCACAATTTCTTTTTATTTTGTTTCTGTTTCAGTAATATTTATCCTGTGCGTTCCTGATGTTGCTCCAAAATTAAACAATGTGGAAAAATATTAACTGAACCATTTTGTCGTGCATAAGAGTTTTAGTTAACAATTACAAAAAAGCCTTCGACTGCTGTCCTTCAACAAAACCTAATATGTGTTCTTATTGCTAATGTTAACCTGAAGCAGGCCAGAAGTGGCTCCACTTCTTGTCTTCTTATTCCACCTTAAACTTTTTAATTCTATTATGTTTTTATTTACTTTTTATATTTACTCTGAGTGGACTCATTTAATCTTATTTTTTGATATGAGCCAATTTGCTTTTTAAAAGTGCTTTCTCAAATATCCTTTGCTGGGCCAGTTACCTATCACGTGCCTTCAAAAACATTGACCTACATCAATATTTAATGTGTTGTTCCTCTAACAAGTTTATGAAATTTGATTTAATAGGTTTTGCACAAACGGCTTTACTCTACTCTGACGAAACAACAGATAACTGGTAGAACATCGGTTCTCAACTTGCCCCACTGATCTCTGCTGAATCAGTTTGCAATGAAAAACATTAAGACTGTATAATTTTTTTATGAGCTATATCATTTTACATGTTTTTTTAAAGGTGTGCCTGGATCTGATGGACATCCAGCCAAAATGGAGGAATGGACCAGCGTTCCCAGCATGACCAGTATGAGCAGCAGATCGTTTCCGTCTGGAATCAATGGAGTCGAGAAACCCAACAACGAACTGGACATCAAATATCCACAGCAGGTAAGTAACCTGAGCATTACCTGCAAACAAAGTGTTTTTGCACAAGGAACACTTTTAACTGCAGGAAGGTACAAATAAAATAGGACTTTTAGGTTTATTTTGGCAGTAAAACAGGAATAAATTCTGATTATGAAATTAAACTGGTCAACATGTCACAGGCTTTAGATGAACTGGAAAATAAAAGTGTGATTTACAGCACACAAATGAATTTATTAAAGTCAGAATCCTTCTATGTCTGAATTTTGCTTTACTTGCTGCTATTTTGCCATTTGCTTGTTCTGCTTTGATGATAGTTGTCAGTCCCGATTGTAAGGAGAGCCCTGATTGGCTACAATCCACCAGCCCCTCTCATGTTTTCCAGTTTTTCGGGGAAAGTAGAAACAGCTGTTAAACTGAGACTTAGAAATACTCCAGTGGAAGTTTTGAAGAAAGAGCCTAAACTCTTGGATTTTCTTAAAAGGTTGTCTCAAGTGTCTTTAGCTCATTAATTTCATCTTTGTGTAAACCTCTAACAGCTGCTGATGTGCACAGAGCTTATAGAACAGCTGTTGTAATGTGGACGAATCAAAAGGGAGTATTTTACTATTTACTTTGGAACAAAAAGGAAAACAAGGACATTTAGAGAAAGAGTTATTTCTCTAAAAAAATTTAAAATTGTTATTCATGTATTATTTTTTACTCTTTTTTGTAAATTAGGGAGATTTTCTGACTGTGCAATTTAAAAAAAATCAGAAACTGGAAGATCTTCAAAAGTCCTCCAGAAATCTCATTAGTTAAAAAAACTAAAGCTTTAAAGGCGTTTGTGATCAGGGAGATATGCAGGACTATTTTTTAAAAATAAACGTGCATTTCAGCCTAATGGCTTTTCAAAAAGCGAGTAGACCAGACTCACTAATGAGAAAACCTTTTAATATTTATTAAAGGGCAAAATGAATGTTTAAGCCATCATCGAGGTAATTTGAGAAAAAATGTCAGTGACAATATTTTTAAGTAAGACCAGATCCAAGCATCAATCGACAACAATAATTAGTTGATGGAAAGTGTCGGCATGTAAATCATCCTGAAAGATCATGGATTGATCGGAATGTTACTTCAAATCAAGTGGGATTAAAACCTTTCCTTTTTTCCTTGTTTTCCTCAGTCTTCATCCGGCCTGCCTGGTTACCTCTCAGCTTGTGCATATTCTCCGCCGAACCAGTACTGTGTGTATGGAGGCCCTGCAACCAACTACATGAACTCTGGACACCACTGGCAGCCCCAGTCCTCCAGTCTGACTCCCAGTTTGAATTCCAGAATGACCCCCAGTCTGAGCCCTGGAATGACTCAGAGTCTGAGTCATCCCAGCTCAGCTGCACTACAGGAAGCTGCAGATTTCCACTCCACATCTTTCAAACTTTCACAGAGAGAAGGTGAGAGTGACTCAGACGTTGCCTTCGAGCCAGTTCTGTGTAGCACCACATCTGGTCCAGATGTTTTTACTGTTACTGATAAACTAGCAGAGCCCCACTGCTGTGATGAAAAACAAGGGGATTTCTGAGACTAAATATTAATGACCTATTGGCTTTAATTTAAAGTGAAACCATTGTGCTTATTTCACTGTTTATGTTACACCGAGCCTTGTTTAAACCCCTCAGTTCATATGAAACAAGCTCTTATGTATCTTATGTATGATATCATACAGAGCTGAGAGTAGAAAAGAAAAGAGATGCATAAAAAAATCATGTAGATAAGATAAAAGAAAACACATTAAAATCAAACAATATACCAATACAGTTTAAATGGGTACAGAGTCAAACAGTTTATAATCCCTAATTTAAATTGACCACCAGGTGAAAGGCAGGGTATGCTCTAGAGAGGTCACCAGTCTGCCGCAGGGCTGCCAACCTTTCACTCTCACATTCACACATACGGGCAATTTTTAAAATCAGCAGGTACCCAGGTACCCAGAGATAATCGATGCAACCATGGGAAAACCATGCAAACTTGCACTAATTCCAAAACAACAAAAACAGAAATCTTAACAAAATTGTTCAGTTGAATGGTCTCAGTGTCAGATCACTAGGCATTGGGGATATGTGGCAGTTATCCATCATTGTGTTTTGCTCTGAAAAACAGTTTATGTTCATTTAGTACAAGTTATAGATCATTAGCTAATCATTAGCTCTATTAGTAAATTGCAAAAGTAAGTGGACCTAGAACCAAACCTTGTGGGACGCCTTCCGTTATCGTTAACTGTTGCTGGTCAGACAAGTAATTCCTGAACAGTAACTGGCGCCATTTTAAAAGCTTGACACGCAAACCACAATCATCTGTGTGGCCCAAAAATCTAGCAACCTGGTGTTTTCCTTATCCAAGCCTTTATCCAGAACCTAAGTAACAGCAAAACAATGCAGTGCATACACGGCTTCATCTGGATCATCTGCCACAGAGCATGCGTTTTACGTATAAGAGACTCTATACTCTTAGACAAACCGGCTAATTTGGAAATTGGTCTTTAGTTATTTTAGGGCGATAATATGACTGGTTTCCAGAAGTGTGCTGTATTTCTTTGCCCCGCAGATTCCCGATTACTCTGCCAGCCCACTGTTGATATTCAGTAGTATTTCAGTCTTTTGTAGGATGGAAGCTAAAGAGAAAGTTGACTTTTGTGGCCTGGCTGAAAACTACAGATGTATAAAACTGTCTCTCTAAAAAGCCGCAGTGCTTCTATCCAGTGTTTTAAGCTATAAAAACACATCTGAGAGAATTTATTTTCTGCTAAAAGCTGCATTTTCCTCCTCAACAACCACTAATGTGTGTGCGTTTTTAAGAAACACTACGGTTTTGTTAAGATTTAAAAAGCCCCAAATTGCACAGAAGAAATAGCTCCTGGTTTTCACAGAATAAATAACATTTCCTTTATAGTTAGTTGGCTGTCCTGTGCAAAAACTAACATAATTCACACATTTTCTGTGTAAACTGTTGTTAGCAGTACATTTCTAACAAAAACAGATTAAGTTTGATAAAAATGAATGAATTTCATAACTGTTTGCCTTTTTTCATCTTCAGGACTTGGCCTCAACAAATCTAGTGGTCAATAAAAAAAAAACCAATAAAAAAAACACACAAAATATTAATGTACTGCAAAACCAAATGAAAATGAAACTCTGAAATTTTAAGGGCAGACGTCTGAAATAATGAAGCCAAATCTGATTTCCCACCAGCAGCGTCAAACCTTATTAAAGCTGCTGAAAAACACGAAGCCCACAGAACCAGTTTCTGATAACCATCAACAAACAGATCATTCCTATTTATCCTTTGTTTAACCAAAAAATCCCTTTGAAGTTAGTTTTTTTTAAAAGGAGGATCAGGCTGGGCAGCAGGTTTCAGTACAACACACTCAAAATGAATTTAAAAACCCAGAGACGACCTTTAAAGGAAGGTTGAATAAAATACTGAAAAACACTGAAACAGAGAACTCAGTCTTTCTTTCTGTAGCATCTCTGACCATCAAAGGAGATATACTTTCTCCTGTCTGTACACTCGTACCTAGAGTAAAGGTGTGTTTGGATCTGAGGTCTTGATTTTATTTAAGCCATTGAGCTATCTGTGAAGTTTCTTTAAAATGGCTTTCAAAATAGCAAAGAATAGAGAGGCGTGCGTGCAAGTTCATGCACAAACTATAATTCATTTTTGCAGTTGGTGAAGTTCTTTGTCAATTAATGAGAGTTTTGTGGTATTTTAATGCTTTCAATGTCCTACTTATGACTTCTGATGCTGCCGAACTGATGCTAACACTTCGTCTTATCATCACCAGAGTATTTACTCTGCCCAGCTTCTACAATGAAAACTGACATTAAGAAAAAACGTGTTTTGTAGGGGGTAAATTTTAAGAAGAACCACACCAAAACAAACACAATGGCCGAATATTGAACACACAAGTGTTAGATATTTCGGTCAACTTTGCACAACTAATGGGCAATCTTATGAGTGTCCCAATTCAGGTCAAATTATATGTGGGATAATCATTTCTATGTCTGCTACTGTGTGGACGCTAAAGGCTGTTGTGACCTGTGCTTTCAGTGGTAGAAGGAGTATATTTATCTTGCACGTGGACTTCAATGCTAGCTCTGTTGTCATGTCAGTAATACCAAGTTACCCATGTAAATTGGTACAAAACTAGATTACGTACATGAAATAGATCATCTTTATATCCATGCCAACAAATTCCTTTATGATTAGATTTCTAGTTCCCTTAGGGAGAAGTCTCTGACCAACAAGTGTCTATTAAAAATCCTTCAAATAATTGGGTTTCAAAGGGCTTCCTAGACTGATGGGCCACAAATAAAGTCGGAATCCTTGTTAGGCTGATACGACTGTGTGCATAGTTAATTAGAGAAGAGCTGTTTAATCTCGATAAAATAAACTGGATGCCGGTAAAAGAGAAACATGGTCACGATGTTGCTAATGGGTTCTTTCTTGTGTTTCCTTTGCAGAGGAAGGGAAACTTCCCCTGAACAAACACCATCACTCTGCTCACAGATTATCTTCAGCCTCGTGACGACGTGGAGGAAACGCAGTGGGACTGGAGCAATGTTTAAATAGGGTCATGTTTTAGAAGATTAGTGGCAAATTGAGCTGTGACTGTGCTGGAGCTACAAACCAATCTGTCCGGATCGGGACTTTTATTTAGTGATGAAAAGGTGAAGGAAGAAAACACGAAACAGACCAGAGAAAGTCCTAAAAAAAAATGTTTTTAGCTTGAATAAAACTAATTTGTCTTCCATATAATTTGATGTTGTTGCCACAAAAGAGAACGTTTAAGCTGCATTTGAATTCTTGTAAAGTATTTTGGCAAAGCTGTATATATATTTTTCTATACATTTGCTTAATAAATATTTAATAATGCAACAAATAATGCATCTGTGCTCATTTTAGCATTAGGAGGAAAATATTTTCAACATATTATATTAAAATGGATCAGATAAGAATCTTATCATTAGAAAA